CACCCAGTAAGTACACATCAATTAGAGTAGGTGACACTCAGAAGGTACACTTCAATTAGAGCAGGTGACAGTAGGCACTATCTATGTAGAGCAGGTGGCTCTCAGTAGGTACACTTCAATTAGAGCAGAGGACACTCAGTAGGCATCGTCTATGCAGAGCAGATGACACTCAGTAGGTACACTTCAATTAGAGCAGGTGACACTCAGTAGGTACACATCAATTAGAGCAGGCGACAGTAGGCATCATCTATGCAGAGCAGGTGACATTTAGTAGGTACACATCAATTAGAGCAGAGGACACTCAGTAGGAACTATCTATGTAGAGCAGGTGACACTCAGTAGGCACACTTAAATTAGAGCAGGTGACAGTAGGTACACTTTAACTAGAGCAGGTGACACTAAGTAGGTACACATCAATTAGAGCAGATGACACTCAGTAGGTACACTTCAATTAGAGCAGGTGACACTCAGTAGGCATCCTCTATGTAGAGCAGGTGACATTCAGTAGGTACATGTCAATTAGAGCAGAGGACACTCAGTAGGCACTATCTATGTAGAGCAGGTGACACTCAGTAGGTATACTGCAATTAGAGCAGGTGACAGTAGGTACACTTCAACTAGAGCAGGTGACACTCAGTAGGTACACATCAATTAAAGCAGGTGACACTCAGTAGGTACACTTTAATTAGAGCAGGTGACACTCAGTAGGCATCATCTATGTAGAGCAGGTGACATTCAGTAGGTACACGTCAATTAGAGCAGAGGACACTCATAAGGCACTATCTATGTAGAGCAGGAGACACTCAGTAGGTACACTTCAGTTAGAGCAGGTGGCACTCAGTAGGTACACTTCAATTAGGGCAGGTGACACTCAGTAGGCACCATCTATGTAGAGCAGGTGACACTCAGTAGGCACACGCCAATTAGAGCAGAGGACACTCAGTAGGCATTATCTATGTAGAGCGGGTGATACTCAGTAGGTACACTTCAATTAGAGCAGGTAACACTCAGTAGGCATCATCTATGTAGAGCAGGTGACATTCAGTAGGTACATGTCAATTAGAGCAGAGGACACTCAGTAGGCACTATCTATGTAGAGCGGGTGATAGTAGGTACACTTCAATTAGAGCAGGTGACACTCAGTAGGTGCACTTCAATTAGAGCAGGTGACACTCAGTAGGCACCATCTATGTAGAGCAGGTGACACTCAGTAGGTACACTTCAATTAAAACAGAGGACACTCAGTAGGCACTCTTTATAAAGAGCAGGTGGCATCCATGGTCACCGCCTATCTAAAGCACCGGCACTCAGGGGCACTCTCAGTGTAGAGCAGGTGACACTCAATGGGCTCTTTCTATGCAGAGCAGGCATGTCTGTTCATCATGTAGAGCAAGTGGCATTTGATAGGCACTGCTTAAGCAGAACATGCAACACAGAGTAGAAACCTTTATGTAGGGGAGGCCCAAATTTTATCTGTATGATGACCACTTATCTACCAAATGCTGAATTGTATCCTACGTCTTTTAAATAAAAAAAAAGGGCCGGGCGCAGTGGCTCAACCTATAATCTCAGCACTTTGGGAGGTGGAGGCAAGAGGACTGCCTGAGCCTGGGAATCTGAGACCAGCCTGGGCAACTTGGTGAGACCTTGTCTCTACAATAAATCACAAAAACTAGCTGGGCATGGTGACGTGTGTCTATAGTTTCGGCTACTTGGAAGGCTGAGGTGGAAGGATCGCGTAAGCTCAGCAGGTCGAGGCTGCGGTGGCCGTGAGCATGCCACTGTACTCCAGCCTGGGCGACAAGAGTGAGACTCCAACTCAAAAAAAAGAAACCTTTATGTAGAGCCTTGGAATTCAGTAGGCACTCTTTACGTAGAGCTGGTGGCACACAGTAGGTACTATTTATCTAGGACAGCTGGTATGCAGTAGGCTCCCTTTATGTAGAGCAAGAGGCACACAGTAGATAAACTTCATGGACAGCATGTGACACTCAGTCGGCACTATTTATGTAGAGTACCTGGTACTCAGTGGCACTTATAAGGAGCAAGAGGCACTCAGTAGGTATTTATATGTAAAGCAGGTGGCACACAGTAAGCACTCTTCATGTAGAGCATCTGGCACTCAGAAGGTATTCTTTATGTAGAGAATGTGGCACTCACTGGCACTCATATGGAGAAGGTGGCACTCAGCAGGTACTCTAGGTATAGCAGGTGGCACTTAGTGGACACATTTTATATTGAGGAGGTAGTACACAGTAGGCACTCTTTGTGTAAAGTAGGTGGCACTCAGTAGATACACTTTATATAGAACAAGTGACACTCCATAGGCACATTTTATGTAGAGCAAGTGACACTTCACTTAATAGGTACTCTTTGCTTAGAATAAGTGGTATCAGCAGGCATTTTTTATGTAGAGCACCTGCACTCAGTAGACACTCTTCATTCAAAGCATGCAGCACTCAGTAGGTAGAGAAGATGGCATCAGTAGATAGTCTTTATGTAGACCAGTGGCTCTCAGTAAGCACTCTAGGTGGGACATGACACTTAGTAGCCACTCTTTATGTAAAGCGGGTGACACTCAACAGGTGTTCATAAGTAGAGCAGGTAGCACTAAGTACTGTATGTAGAGAAGGCAACACTTAGTAGGTCTACTTTAAGTAGAGCAGGTAGCACTCAGTAGGCACTCTATGGAGAGCAGATGGCTTACTGTAGGTGTAGTCTTTCTGTAGAGCAGGTGGGACTCAGTGGACAGTCTTCATGCAGAGCAGGCAGCACTCAGTAGGACTTTATTTAGAGCAGGTGACACTCAATAGCTACTCTTTATTTGAAGCAGGCAGCATCAGTAGGCCTACTTCATGGACAGCACCTGGCGCTCAGTAGGCACCATTTATGTAGAGCACCTGGTACTCAGTGGCACTTATTATATGGAGCAAAGGCACTCAGTAGGCATTCTTTATGTAGAGCATCTCCACTCAGTAGGGACTCTTTAAAGCAAGCAACACACAGTAGGCACTCTATACAGAGCAAGCAGCATTGGTAGGTACACTTGATATGGTGGAGGTATCACTCAGTAGGAACTCTTCATGTAGACCAGGTGGCACTTAGTAGTTGTTCTTTATGCAGAACCGGCAGAACACAGTAGGCACATTTCATATAGAGCAGGTGGCATTCAGTAGGTACCCTTTCATGTAGGTACCCTTTGTGTAGAGCAGGCAACACTCAGTAGGGATTCTTTAGGTAGAGGAGTCAGCACACAGTAGGCGCTATTTATGTAGAACCAGCATCATTAGCAGGCACAGTTTCTGTAGAGCCGGCTGCACACAGTATGCACCCTCTATGTGGAGCATACTGCACACAGTAGGCATTCATTATGTAGAGGAGGTGGAAGTCAGTAGGCACTTTTTATGTAGAGCACTTGGTACTTAATAGGCTCTCCTTATGTAGACTAGGAGACACTCAGTAGGCATGTTTTTTTTTTTTTTTTGAGTTGGAGTCTCACTCTGTTGCTCAGGTTGGAGTGCAGTAGCATGCTGCTCACGGCCACAGGAGCCTCGACCGCTGGGCTCAGGTAATCCTTCTGCCTCAGTCTTCCAAGTAGCTGGAACTACAGGCATGTGCCACCAAGCCTAGCTAATCTTTTTTTTTTTAGCTTATTGTAGAGATGAGGTCTCACCAAGTTGCCCAGGCTGGTCTCAAACCTGTGGGCTCAGGCAACCCTCTGACCTCGGCCTACTAAAGTGCTGGGATTACGGGCGTGAGTCACTGCGTCCGGTCTAGCAGGCATGATTTATGCAGAGCAGGTGACACTCCATAGGTATTCTTTATGTAGAGCACCTGGCACACAGTAGGCACATTTTATATAGAATATGAGGCATTCAGTATTCCAGATTTATGGAGAGCACCTGGTTTACAGTAAACACACTTTATGTAGAGCATTTGGCATATGGTATACCAGATTAATCGAGAACACCTGGCACACAGTATGTACACTTTATATAGTGAGCCTGGCACACAATAGGCATCCTTTATTTAGAGTATTGACACACAGTAGAAGTTCTTTTCATACAGTCTTTTGTACAGAATAGAGACTGGCACACAGCAGCTCAAGGACTAGTTGTCAGCCCCTTTACTTCACTCCCTCTTTTTGAGGATCACTCTCTTGTGAAGTCCACTTCTGTCCCCCTCTAAGAACATCACTCAGCATTCTGTTTCCAGGGTGGGAGGACTAAGCCCAGAAGGCTGCCAACAGTCAGAGCAAGGATGAGGCAGAATGAGGAGACTCCACTTAGGCTTTCTGGGCTCTGACCACCCCTGCCTGGACCCCGCCTGCTCACAGTCACGTTCAGCCTTACCCACCATGCCTCCACCTCAGTCCCCTTTCACTGAGACCAGCCTCCAGGGTTGATCTTCCAGCTGAGCTCTTTATCCTTAGAATCTGACCCAGGTAATCCCTAGGGAAGCCGGATTCTTTGTTCCTGCTCCAGGCAGTCATGTCTCCAACAGGGTCCTGGGCTGCCTGGGGGCAGGTCTTGAACACCTGCCAGGTTGTGCAGTGGGGGCCAGAGTCCTCTGTCTCTAAATTGCATAATTCTGCACTGAGAAATGGTTCACAATATCCTCCTGGCCCACACTTAGGGACAAGGCATGCCTGGCTCTGCTTGCCTAGCACTTGAGCTCTCAACTTTATGCTTTTACCTGCTGTACCCTGGCCTTGGGAGGGCATGGTGGCTATAAGTGTTGGGGCTCAGAGTCATCTTTGATCATTCCTCACTTATTCTCCAACCTACATGGGAGGGGCTGAAACCTGAGGATAAAGGGCTTGTGCTGTGTCATCCTGAACTGGTTCCTGTGCAGGCAGCAGGTTCCGCCCCAGGTTTGGCCAGCTGCCCAGGCACAGGAGAGGCAGCCAGGTCTGTAGGGATTGGTTGGCTCAGCCCAGCCCAGCCTTTCACAGCCTCCCCTAGATCAGGGGTCAGGGACAAAGACCTCCCCGCAGAAGAAGAGAAGAGGCTATGTGGGACAAGCTGTTTCTTTAGAAGGTGACAGGCTGGGGGTGGTGGGGCCGGAGCGTCCTCCCCTGGGATAGAGAGGGACACTGCCCAAGGCAGGAGTGGTGCCAGGCTCCTGGCCTGAGGGACAGGTGGTTTCCTGGTAACGGAACCCCTGGCAACCTCCCAGCATTCAGGTAGGGCCTTCCTGGACTCTAATCAGCCTCTCTCTCTTTCACTTTCTGGAGCTTCGTGGGTTGCTGGAGGCCAGTTGGCTGCTGGTTTTGGCTAAGCCTTTCAGAACCTTAGCTGTCAGTTGTTTACCCATCCTTGAGCCCTCCCTGCCCTGTCCCCAGCACCTTGCAGGCCCAGCCCCTCTCCACTGTCCGTGGAGCTCCCTTGGCCCTTACCTTGGACTCAGGAACTCACCTTCTATCCCATTGCCCTGCAGGATGTCACACCTGAGCCTGTCCTGGATGGGCCTTGGGCCGGTGGCAGTGTCCCTATGGCAGCTCCTGCTGCTGGTCGGGTTCTCCTGGCTCTTGGCGCGCATCCTGGCCTGGACCTATGCCTTCTATGACAACTGCCGTCGCCTGCAGTGTTTCCCGCAGCCCCCCAAACGGAACTGGTTCTTGGGTCACCTGGGCCTGGTGAGTGTGGCAGCAGGATGGATCTGGGGTATCAGGGTAGAAGGACTTCTTGAGGGGTGGGAATGGGGTCCAGGGAGCTGGGGTGGGGGTAGGCTGGGGCCTGGGACAACAGGGAAGCTGGAAGGAGGCCCTTCACTCTTCTACTCACTCACTCATTTTTCCACTCATTCATTCGTTCCTCTACTCATTCACTCATTCCTCTACTCACTCACTCACCTCTCTCCTGTGCCATCCCAAGCCTTTCTCCTCTTCTTGTCCTCTCATTTCTGGCCTGCTCTGAATCCTTTTCTTCACTATTTTCCCACATTGGTGCACTTTTGTGAGGCTTCCGGAATGAGCTACACAGAGTAGGGACCCTCTGGTGCTCCTGCATTCTCCACTGTTGGAACTGAGGCCTCTTGAGCCTACTGTCCGGGGTCTGCAACTTGCCTGGTCCATTTCTGGCTACAGGGCACATCTGGGCCAGAAGACCATTGTGGGCAGTCTCCCACCACCTCCTTCTCCTGAAGTTCCTTCCTCTTGTCTTGTTCCTCTCCACTAGGATGTCCCAATAGGTCCTGTTGCCCAACCTTGATAAAAGCTGTCCACTCATTTCCTCTTCAGAAGTCTCATTGACTTCCCCACCCCCAGACCTTGCCCTCAGAGTTAGACCTGTTTTCCTTTTTGGGTGATGTGACCTCGGTCTGTTCATGTGAAAATGGTAGCACTGAGGGGCAAGTCCACAGGCATGATGGATGGGTGCACAGGATGCACTAGCACAGGGCCTGGTGTGCAGAAGGTGCTCACAGGTGGGAGACACCATCTGGAGGGACAGTTAGCATCACCTCTGCTCCCTGAGGGCTGCTGAGATCGAAAGGCTCCCAGAGTGATGATCCTTGTTCCTGGGAGGACCTGGAGTCAGTGAGGACCAGCCAGGACAGGACAGGATGTGGGGACTAGCCCTAGGGACATGACTTGACTCACCCATGAGTAGCCCACCTCATAAGGACTTTCCTTGGGCTGGAACTACTCCCAGGACAAAAACAATCTTTCCTCTCGAGCCAAGATGGGCCTCCCTGTGAGCAGACAGCACGTCTTCTCCATCTGCTTTGGTATGTATCTTTAAGACTTGAAGACACCCCCAAGAAAGAAGGAGCAGAAGCCGGGCTCGGTGGCTCAGCCTGTAATCCCGCGCCTTTGGGAGGCTGAGGTGAGTGAATTGCCTGAGCCCGCGGGTTCGAGACCCGCCTGGGCAACTTGGCGAGACCTCATCTCTACAATAAATCAAAAAATCAGCCAGGCGTGGTAGCGCATGCCTGTAATTCCGGCTACTCGGAAGGCGGAGGCGGAAGGATCGCCAGAGCCCAGCAGGTCGAGGCTGCGGTGGCCGGAAGTGGCCACTGCACTCCAGTTTGGGCGACTGAGTGAGACTCCAACTCAAAAAGAAAAAAAAAGAAGGAGCAGGAAAAAGATACACGTTTGTTTACTTATTTATTTGTATGTAAACAGTATATTCATATCTGGAGAGCCAGAGTGAGAGAGTGAGAGCGAGAGCAAGAGCGAGAGAGAGAGCGAGAGAGAGAGAGAGAGAGAGAGAGAGAGAGAGAGAGAGAGAGAGGAGAGAGAAGAGAAAAGAGAGATAAGAGAAGAGACAAGAGAGAAGAGAGAAGAGAAAACAGAGAAGAGGGAACTCACTTAGATGTTGATGGATACTAAGAAGGTCCAAAAAGTGCCGTCTGCAAACTGGAGAGTCAGGGATGCTGGTGTGCAATTCAGTGTGAGTCCAGAGGCCTGAGGAACTGGAGTTGTGATGTCTGGGCAGGAGAAGATGGATGTCCTAGCTTCAGAAGAGAGGGAATTTGCCCTTCTTCTGCCTTTTGTTTTTGTTTTTTTGAGTTGGAATCTCACTCTGTCACCCAGGCTGGAGTGCAGTGGCATGATCACAATGATCATAACTCATGGCAACCTCAACTTTCTGGGCTCAGGCAATTTTTCCACCTCAGTATCCCTAGTAGCTGGGACTACAAGCATGTACCAGCATGCCTGGCTAATTTTCTGATTTTTGTATAGATGAGGTTTTGCTGTATTGCTCAGGCTGGTCTTGAACTCCTGGGGGCTCAAGCAACCTGCCCACCTCTGCCTCCCAAAGTGCTGGGATTAGACTTGAACTATCATGCCCTGCCTTTCACCTGCCTTTCTTTTCTATCTGGGCCCTCTGTGGATTGGATGATATCTGCCTACATTGTGGAGGGCAGATCTTCAGATCTTCCTTGCTCATTTTACTATGGATTCAAATGCTAATCTAATCTGAAACACTCTCACAGACATACTCCAAAATGATATTGGACCAGCCATCTGGGCATCCCTTAGCCCAATCAAGTTGACATCTAAAATTAACCATCTCAGGAGGTGATCACACCAACTTGTTTGTAGGTCAACCCCACGGATGAGGGCATGAGGGTCATTACCCAACTGGTGGCTACCTATCCTCAAGGCTTTATGACCTGGATGGGTCCCATCTCCCCCATGATCAGTCTATGCCATCCTGACATCATCCGATCTGTCATCAATGCCTCAGGTACCCATCGGAAACACCTGGTGGTGGGTGCTGTGGCACATCTGAAATCTGTGAGCCTCTTGCCTCAAGCTTCTGTGTGGCCCCCACTGTACCCTGGTCCTTCCTTCCCCCTTCTCTCTTAGCCACCTTCCTCTTCCCTTCATGTACTCATCAACGTCTACTTATCTCCTTCCCCCACTGGCATCTGCCCCATTCTACCCTGGTGATCTGGGTGCCACTCTTGCCTCCAAAAGACCTCAATCCAAGGCCATGACTTGTGGGAACCCCCAAGCTTGAGCAGATGGATCTGGAAAGAGACACCCCAACTTTGTGGGGTCAAGAATGGGCCAGAGGGAGATGGGGCATGACAGCCCAGAGGAGAACAAGGTCTCTGCTGGGGCAGGCTAGAAGGCTTCCTGGAGGAGAGGGTTGCTGGAGTGGGGTCTGGAATGATGAGTAGGAATTTTTAAACGGGGGGTACAGAGTGATGCAGTGGGCATCGTTAGTATTTAAGGACCCCTGGCAGGTCTGGCATCAACCTTGTCCATCCCCTCACCCACAGCAACAGAAGAATTTGTGGCTGGTGGAGGATCTGGGCTGCTATTTATGTGACGTTCATCTCTGATGTGGGTGGTTCCCTCTACTCCATCCTGTGGGTCTTACACCCTAAGTTCATTGCTCTCCTGCTTCAGAACCCAGGCCAGCCTGGTGCCCTTCCCTTGCCCTCTGCCCCTCCCATCCTTGGAGAGGCTAGGCTGAGCTGGAGAAAGGGTGGCGTCACACAGAGACCATGACTCTGACCTCCAAATGCTGAGTGGCTCTGGACAGGTCCCAGGTATCAGTGGCTGCTGATGTTTCTTTCATTTGTGAGTGGCAGAAACTCAATCCCATCGGTCTAAATAAAGAGAAAGAATCTATTGACTTTAAAGTCTAGACAGAATGGCCTTTAGGCCTGGGCAGTCCAGGCCTACACAGTGTCTAAAGGAAACGGTCTCCTTCTCTTGGTCTTACCCTTCTTTGCATCACTTTTCTTTTTTTTTGAGTTGTGGTTTTGCTTTGTTTGCCCAAGCTGGAGTGCAGTGGCATGAACACAGCTCACCATAGCTTCAGCCTCCTGGGCTCAGGTGATCCTCTGCCTCAGACTCCTGAGTAGATGGGACTAAAGGCACACACCACCATACCCAGCTAATTTTTTTTGTAGAGATGGGGTCTCACTATATCGCCCAGGCTGGTTTTGTGCTCCTGGGTTAAAGTAATCCTCCCACCTCAGCCTCCCAAAGTGCTGGGATTACAGATGTGTGTCATTATGCCCACCACTTTTTGAAGTAGCCTTTTCCCTTATGGTGTCATCAATGAACCCCAGAATCTTGGTTGCCATTGAAAAGCCCACCTTTCCCCCAAGTTTCCTTAAATGGCCCATGATTTACTTAAATTGTCCTAGTCTGGGACACAGGACACTTTTTCACCCAATGAATGTGACTTTGACTGCCCAGTCTTGGCAGGCACTTGGCTCCCAGTTTTGAGGGCACAAAGCAGTTCTGTGGTTAAGATCATAGCATTGTGGATTCAGACAGACCTGGCTTTTGTCTCAGTCATGTCACTTACTATCTGGGGACCCTGGGCAGGTGAGTTTATTGTTCAGAACCTCAGTCTTGTCTGGAAAATGAGATAGAGAAGAAACCAAGGAAACATGGTGTTTGGGATCCAGATGATGAGAGAGTTAGTCTGTGTCTGTAATTGAAGGACCAGGAGTGTCGTGGATCAGAGCTGTGGGGAGGGAGCCCAGGAGGAGGCTCAGCACAGAGAGGATAGTGATATGCTGCTCAGAGTTCCCAAGGTTTGGGTCTGGGTCTCTTCCCTGCAGACCCTTCTTGTCAGCAGCCTGGAAGAGCGTGAATTTGGTCCTGTGTGTTCTTCTCCAGATTCAGAGCTCGGAGGAAGGTCTCCTATACACACAGGGCCTGGCGAGCACCTTTAAGGACGTGTGCTGCTGGTGGGTGGGGCCCTGGCATGCAATCATCCGAGTCTTCCACCCCACCTACATCAAGCCCGTGCTCTTTGCTCCAGGTAGACACTGCACCAGCCTCCTCTGGCCCACTGCTGAGGTCTCTGTGCTACTCCCAGCCAGTGGGGTGACCTGAGTGCAGACAGGTGGGGCTGTGAGGGAGATGCGGCTGCCTCTGTCTTCCCTGGACTTCCACTGGTCTGACCCTGGTCTTATCCACTTATGTTTGGTGAATGTCTGTGTAACGTCTGCTGGAAGACCATGTCTTGTCTTGTGTATATTTATACCTGAGCCCTGATAACACCTGGAATATGTTATACCTGGTTGCATCAAGTATATGTTTACCCCTGGGATCATATGGAGGTAGTCATGTCTGGGGCTCAGCTAAGGCCAAGGACATTTGGGAAATGTAGGAATCTTTCTGGTTCTTGTCTGAAATGTTGTTTGTTTGAGATAGCCTTTTTCTCCTGCTGGTCACATTTGGACTATGTTTGGGGCTCATCTGAGGTCTGGGCTCCAGTGTCCTTTAGTGAAATGTCTGAGACATTATTTGAGTCTTGTCTAAGGCAGATCTTAAGGTCCATTTGCATCATGCCTAAGGAACAGTGTTGTTCACACCTGGGACATTAAAGGGACCATATATAAATCTTATCTGAAGCCTATCTGTGGGGCACACTGTGGTGATGTCCGATTGTCTCATGTGTATGTTAGAGTATACTGTGTCTTGCTAGAGGTTGTCATGTATTTTGTGATCATGTACGGTCATGTTAACACAATCAGGGTCATGTCCCCTGTCCCAGGTCCATATAAGTAGACATTAGAGAGTGCTGGGGCAGATACATTTCCTAGGTCCCTCTAAAGGTTTTTGTAGAGTGTTGGGCTGTGCATGGGTATTGCAAAACATGTTGAACCATATAAAAGTCATGTCCAGGCATGCAGGGGCATGCTGTGCCATGTTAAGTCATGTTGTTGCTCTACTGTGCTGCTGTATCCTTGTTCTGGCCCCCCCTTGGATCCTCCATTTACCCTTCTCTTTCTGCCCTTCCCCTGCTTCCTGCTATGCTGGGCTTAAAGGTGGGAACTGTAAATTTTGGCTGGGAGCTTCCACTCTACACACCCAAAGTCCCTCCCCTGCCCCTCTCTGTGGCCCCTGATGGTCTCATTTGTGTCAGCTGCCATTGCACCCAAGGATGTGGTCTTCTACAGCTTCCTGAAGCCCTGGCTGGGTGAGTAACTGCAGGTGAAGGGGGTTGGGGACAACCTTTTGGGGCAAAGGGAAGGTGCTGCCCTTGCCCACTGCCCACGGCTACCCTACTAGGGGACGGGCTCCTGCTGAGTGCTGGTGACAAGTGGAGCCGCCACCGTCGGATGCTGACACCTGCCTTCCATTTCAACATCTTGAAGCCCTATGTGCAGATTTTCAATGAGAGTGTGAACATCATGCATGTGAGTTCCTTGGATCTAGAGTCCTAGCTTGAGATTTGGGGGTAGAGGAATCATAGATACACTTGATCTAGAATTTTGGCTTTGCTGGGTGGGTTTGGGACCATTGTGTTTCTTCTCGGAGCCTTGGTTTCCTCATAAAATGGGGATAATAATCCTTATCTAACATGTGATTAATATGATGTGATGAAGTCATATCCTTGGCACATAATAGATGCTCAGAAGGTGTCAATTTCCATGTTTCTCTCACAGAAGCCCTGTAAACTCAAGCATGATTATAAAGATTGCATAGTAGCTATTGCTGAGTAACAAACCGCTTCAAAACTCATTGGTTTAAAGCAGTTTAAAGGGTTGATTATTTTTTAATAAGCCTGTGGGATACGTGGTGGCTGGTTCTTCTTAACTTGGATGGGATCACTCATGGTATATGAACTGCTGAGGGTCAGGTAGACAGCGTTGCTGATCCTGGCTTGGTTCTCTACATGTTTGGGGCTTAGTTGGTTTCAGGGTGATCTAGAATGGCCTCAGCTGGGAATTCTGGACTTTCCTTCCCGTGATTCTCTTCCCCCAGAAGGCACACTGTAATGTTTACATAGCAAAGATAGGATACTAAGGGATTGAGAAGAGGTTGTCATGCCTCTTGAGGCTGAGGTCTCTTACAGTCATTACCTCATCATTTTTGCCGCATGATATCTGCCCATAGAAAGTTAAAAGTCTCTTTTACTAAAGATTTTCATGGAGAGGAACAGTTACAAGTCAGTAATCAAATTTTTTGAGGCCTTGCATGTACAGGGCTAAATTTCTTGTGCAGCAAAAACAGATGTGTAGACCAGTGAGAAAAAAGAAAAAAAAAGTTAAAACAAAGTCAAAAGTCATAGGATCAATTGGGAGGAGTATAAAATAGGCCCCATCTCTTAATGGAAGTTGCTGGAAAATCACATTGCAAAGATGTAGACCTAGGGAGAAGGGAACAACTGGGGGGCAGGGCTTTGTGAAGTCTAGGATTTTTTTTTCTAACTTGCAACTAAGTTAGCTTGTTACTGAAGTCTTCCAGAAGACAGGAGACTCCTGGGTCAGAGACAAAGGGCAGTTGATTACTCATGGTACAGCAAGCAGCATGTGCTTCTTGCTGGTTTGTAGTCATCTAAATTTCATGAGGGCAACCCAGGCGGCTTCTATAGATGCCTGCTGATGTATTATGTTGTGTCACAGGGGAGGAGTATAGGGAATCTACTTTTACAGCAGGCAGAAGCAAGCCTGATGTGTGTCCGGGGAGTCATTACCTTATTCATCAAGGTTATTCTCTGTAAACAGAAGTTTGAGAAATGACCCAAGTTAAAAACACCAGGGTCTTGCATTCTTGGCATGCCCAAAAGGCATGCTCAAGGTCTGTATAGGATGGCCTCTTCCAACATATTTGAAAACAAGATGAGGAAAGCCAACATTTATTGAAAACTCAATATAGCAGAAACAATGCTGTGTGCCAATTAAATGATACAAGTATATACTGTCTAATTTATTTTAACAACTCCACAGGGTCTGACAATTAGGTTCATGAACCATCCTAGAAAAAGTGCTACATACCTCATTGCTGAATATCACTATGGCCACTTTCGAAGTACTCCCCCTGAGAAGCTATGCATCAACACTACTGTGTAGTCTACCCATCAAAGCAATTTTGGAACTCTTTTTCTGGAAAGTGGTTATGTGTTGAGGTCTGACAACTATATTCACAAACCTGCTACCGTGCGCTTACGTTGGTAGCCCTGTACAAATAACTATATTGGAACACCCTGCCTACTCACCTGATCTGGCCCCCAGTGATTTTTTTCTTTACCCAAAGATACAGGAAATATTGAAAGGAAGACATTTGATGACATTCATGACATCCAGGGTAATACGACGATGGTTCTGATAGTCATTCCAGAAAGAGTTCCAAAATTGCTTTGACAGGTGAACTAGGCACTGGCATCAGTACATAACTTCCCAAGGGAAGTCCTTCAAAGGTGACATAGCAATATTCAGTACCGAGATATGTAGAATCATTTCTAGGATGAGTTCGTGAACTTAATTGTTGGACCTTGTATGAAGGAGACACTGTGTCTGCCTCATTACAGATGATGAGCCTAAGGGCTAGAGATATTAAGGAGCTTACCCAAGTTCACCCAGCTAATAAGTGAGCTAGTAGTGGAGGAGCAAGGGCTCTAACCTGGTTTATTTGGCACCAAAGCAGGTCATCTCAACTATTACTGAAAGTTTGACAGGTGGAACCCAGGAGAGGGTAATGAATTGACCAAAAGCACATAGACCACAGGGAGGCAAAATTTGAATTTGTACCCAGGTCTCCTGACTCAAAGACTTTGGGTCTTCATCTTCTGATAGTAACAGCTCCCACTTCCACCCAAACTGCTCCTTTCTGGGGATGAGAGAAACTGATGATGATGGTTCCAGGAAATCCGTCCTGGTGGTTGGGGTTGGGGAGGGTCTCAAGAGAGCCAGGGCCCAGATCCAGCTCTCTCCTTCTCTGGACAGGCCAAGTGGCAGCGCCTGGCCTCAAAGGGCAGTGCCCGTCTGGACATGTTTGAACACATCAGCCTCATGACCTTGGACAGTCTGCAGAAATGCGTCTTCAGCTTTGACAGCAATTGTCAGGAGTGAGTTCTTGCCTAGGGTCTGGGCACTTGAAACATGGACCCGAGGGGGTAGATCAGGGTGAGAGGCCTGATCAGGGCAACCAGAAGTGCCTTCCTGGAGGAGTTGTGTCATAGTTATTCTTTGAAGGGCTGGTATGAACTTTATCATGAAGTTTTCAGAAAGCCACTGAAGGAGTTTGAGCTGTTGGAATGGTCAGAACCAAGCTCTGGGGAGGACTGACTGTTACATAGCCACTAAGTGGAGTTCACGTTGAATGCAGGAAGGCTAGGGTGGGGCTAGACCATGGACCACTTGGATGAGGATAAGATCTGAGTTTTGTGGACCGTTTCAGGAAGGAGAAGGCCCAGGACTGGATACTGGGTGGGAGAGAGAGAAGAGGGGCATGATGTTCAAGTCATGCTCTGGGTGTCTAAGGGCAAAGAGGCAGCTTGTAGAGATGGGAGGCAGGGAGAGAAGAGAGTTCGGAAGAGTCGAGTCTCATGGCTGATCTCCACTGTGTATATGTTGGGTCATCTGCTTCTGGATACTCGGTTTCCTGATGGGAGGGGTTCCTCAGTTTTAGCTGTGTTAAGTTGTTCCCTTCCTTATTTCATCATCCTGCAGAAAGCCCAGTGAATATATTGCTGCCATCTTGGAGCTCAGTGCTCTTGTGGCAAAAAGACACCAGCAGATCCTCCTACACTTGGACTTCCTGTATTACCTCACCCATGATGGGCAGTGCTTCCGCAGGGCCTGTGACCTGGTACATGACTTCACAGATGCCGTCATCCAGGAGCGGCGCCACATCCTCACTAGCCAGGGTGTTGATGATTTCCTAAAGGTTAAGACCAAGTCCAAGACTTTGGATTTCATTGATGTACTTCTGTTGAGCAAGGTAGGCTTCTCTGGGATCTGAATTCAAGAAGCAGAATTCAGCTTGGTGCCAGATGTCACAGAGAACTTGGATTTGACTCAGAGGGCACTGGGGTACCAAGGAAATTATTTTGGGAAAGGAAAGGACAGGCCAGTGATAAGTTTTAGAGATGAATCTGTGGAACATTCCTTGTAGGGGACTACTAAGTCTGAAACTGTAGAGTCTAGATTTTCCTCGATTTACAAGTTAATAAGTTAGTCTGTCACATTTTTTCAGACATCTACATCTATATGTCTATGTTTATGTCTTTGTCTGGGTCTGTATCTATATTTTTGTCTTCCCTATGTATATATCTTTGTCCATGTCCACATCTTTGTGTATATGTCTGTCTTCTTCTGTGTCTATGTCTATCTCTTCATGTCTATGACTATGCTTTTGTCCTTGTTTATGTCAATGCCATGTATACATCTGTAACTCCTCTTCAGTGAGATGCCAAAGTCTGTAAGCTTACAACCCAAAAGTCTTCAGGATAAGATTCCAGATTTACCACTCCAGAATGTGAGCAAATATTTTCAGAGCAATACTCAATCTCTAACTTCCAAGGAAAATTGCAGTTTAATTAATTTGGAACCCAAGTTGCCAGTAACTTTTTCTCAGAAAGCTCTCATTATGCAAGAACATGAAAATCTTCATGGATGATTGATTCATCCCACCAGGGACAAAATAAAAGGCAAGGCAGCCTGGAAGGGAGCCCATGGGGTGGAGGCTCTGGCAATAGTGACTAAGAGAGATCTAGGAGTGTAGGGTGGGCTTGCACTTCTGGAAGGTGAATGGATCTTTAGAGATTGTGCCAGGTTAGACTCGGGAACCTCAGAGCTAGTGTGATCTGAGGGGCCGTGCCTTCTCTCCAGGATGAAGATGGGAAAGAATTGTCAGATGAGGACATAAGAGCAGAAGCTGACACCTTCATGTTTGAAGGTGAGGGTCCCAGTGTGAACTACAGTGTGGACAGGAGTCCCTCCATCCCTGGTCACTCTATTCTGTCCATCTTCCTTCTTCCTCCATTCTCCCATGAAAACCTTAATGTGTGGGTGCCTGGTGTGAAGCAGCCCAGAGACTCACGCTTCCCTACTGTTCCTCAGGCCATGATACCACGGCGAGTGGCCTCTCCTGGGTCCTGTACCACCTTGCGAAGCACCCAGAATACCAGGAGCAATGTCGGCATGAGGTGCAAAACCTCCTGAGCAACCGCGAGACCAAAGAGATGGAATGGTGAGTGCAGGGCCTCAAGGTCTTTTCCTGAATCCTCTCATGGGATCTGCTCCCCAGGTGGGGAGAGGGAAAGTTGTTTTGGTCAATTCTGCCCACTATTGCTCAGTGGGAATAAGAACACAGACCAGAGACCGGGCTTGGTACCCAGCCTGGCTAACAGGGGAAAGGTTGCAGGCTTTTAGGACAGAAAGATCTGGGCCGCTGAGAGAATTGGTGACAAGATGTGAGGGCCAACGATGCCACGTAGCACATGTTCAGTAAATGAACTTCCCCTCCACTCCCTTCTTTTCTCCCTGAAATATAATTTTTTCAAACTTCTTTACTTCCTGAATATTTGCTCTTCTGCACCTTAAGTCCTATCCTACTGTCCAGTCCAGGGACTCATAAAGGGCACCTGGAGGTAAAAGTCATCTATCTCTTGCCCAAAACACTTGCTTCATCCATCTATCCAGTCTTCATTCAGTAAACACTACCACACTGCCCTTCTGCCACCTGATTGTGTGCACAGCAGCTTTTTGTGCTCTGGCGACCTGGGAAGGACTCAGCCCAGGGATCTCTTTTCCAGGGGCTCCCAGCCTGATAGGGGAGTATCCTTGTGTTACAGTGCTGTAGGTCAAGGAGACATCCTGGATAAAAGTGGAGAGAGGAGATATTGAGATAGGGTAGTGTGTGAGGGGAAAGGACAGAGGCATAGAGAGAGGAAGAAGAGAGAGGGGATGAAAAAGAGAGGGAGAAGGAGAAGGGATGAGAGAGAAAGGAGACAGAGAAGGGGTGAGAGAAGGAATGAGTCATGATGAGATGAGGAAAGTGGAGATTGTACAAATGAAAGTATTTAAAATAGATACAAGTCTGCACATTAACAATATATCTCTGAGTTCTTTTCTTTTTCTCAAAATGTAAGTTTTGGGAAATGAGTTTGCTTTTAAATTATTACTGTTAGCCAGGCTTGGTGGCTCAGCCTGTAATCCTGCGCCTTTGGGAGGCTGAGGTGAGTGGATTGCCTGAGCCTGCGGGTTCGAAACCCGCCTGGGCAACTTGGTGAGACCTCATCTCTACAATAAAAAAAAAAAAAATCAGCCGGGTGTGGTAGCGCGCATCTGTAATTCCGGCCGCTTGGAAGGCAGAAGTGGAAGGATTGCCGGAGCCCGGCAGGTCGAGGCGCGGTGGCCGGGAGCGGCCACTACACTCCAGTCTGGGCGACAGAGTGAGACTCCAACTCAAAAAAAAATTTTTTATTTATTTATTTATTTTTGAGATGGGATCTCCCTATGTCACCCTGGCTGGTCTTTAACTCCTGGTCTTAAGCGATCCTCCCACCTCAGCCTCCAGAGTAGCTGGGATTACAGGCGTGAGCCAACACACGGCTCAAGTCCTATTTTTAACCTGAAGTCTTATGATATAAGATCCTGGAGGGTAGAGAGATAAACCACTCTGATTATTTGCATGTAAGCCCTAGTCATACAAAACCTCAAATCACGAGTGATTGATAATAAATTCTTTTTGCACTGGTAAATGAGCCATTACAGAGAAGAATAGGTTTATCTTTAATATTCTTCCCACTCCACCTAGTCCCCTTCCTTTCTTCCAAGGGATCTTTAGAACCATGGGTTTGTCTGTCTATCTATCTATCTATCTATCTATCTATCTATCTATCTATCTATCTATCTATCTATCTCTATCGGCTATCTAACATCTATCAATCATCTATCTCTATCAGCTATCTATATCTATGTAATCTATCTCTCATCTCGTCTATCTTCATATGTATAACCATATGCTTTTTGCCCCTTTGCATTTATATACACATACATTTTGTAACTTTTTTTCACCCAACAATGTGTCTTATAGCTATTTTTTTCTGCATGCTGCACAGCATCCAGGCATTCCATATTTTATTCAGTTCACCCCTATGTGTTTTTATTTTTATTTTTATGAATTGGGGTCTCATTTTGTCATCCAGGCTGGAGTGCAGTAGCATAATAATGGCTTACTGCAGCCTCAAACTCCAGCACTCAAGCAATCCTCTTGCCTCATCCTCCTAAGAATAGGTGGAACTACAAACGTGTGCCACCATGTCTGGCTAACTTTTTAATTTTTTTTTTTTTTTTTTTTGAGTTGGAGTCTCACTCTGTTGCCCAGACTGGAGTGTAGTGGCCGCTCCCGGCCACCGCGCCTCGACCTGCCGGGCTCCGGCGATCCTTCCACTTCTGCCTTCCAAGTAGCTGGAATTAGGCATGTGCTACCACACCCAGCTGATTTTTTGATTTATTGTAGAGATGAGGTCTCGCTACCCAGGTGGGTCTCGAACCTGCGGGCTCAGGCAATCCACTCACCTCAGTCTCCCAAAGGCGCGGGATTACAGGCTGAGCCACTGAGCCCAGCTCTTTTTAATGTTTTGTAGAGACGAAGTCTTGCTGTCTTGCCCAGTCTGGTCCTGAACTCCTGGGCTCAAACAATCCTCCTGCCTCAGCTTCCTAAATTACTGGGATTGTAGGTGTGAGCCACTGCGCCCAACCTGAGTTCACCCCTAGGTTGAAGATACTTGCACAAACATTCTAAATTACAACAGATATTGCCAACTTGCGTTCCAGAGTCTCTGTGCTGATTTACCTTTCAGCCTGCAATGTGTGATAGGACAGATGATTATTTCCTCCTTTTGGGAAGCTGTATATATTCTCTTGTGTGGATGTAGCATCATTTGTCTAAACATATTCCCATCGATGTATATTTGTCTTATTTTCAACCTTTTGCTAAGTTAAGTCTGTTGGAGTTGGGATGTGTGCACAGAGACCATTGCTTCCATGTGGGGCATTTCTGCAGGACAAATTCCCAGAAGTGCAATTGCTGAATCAGAGACCATTTACATCGTGCAATTTTAATTATGGTTGAAAATACGTTCCTATTAACTGAGTTGGATGCACAAAGTTTCCCATATCTTTACCAATAGTATTATTATATTATTAGTTTTTAAATCTTTATCAGTTTTCACATTTCTTCTTTTGATGGACATTCCTTTAAAGAAGAGTGAGACTGAAAATCTTTTGCACATGTTGATAAGTCATTTTTTTTTTTTTTTCTGGAAGTGGTTTTCTTTCTTTTTTTTGCGCTTTTTCCTTGGGTCCTTTATCATATGTGCATTAAAATTAATTTTTTTCTGTATCGTGTTGTAAAGGATTACTTTTTGACTTTAGGGAGGTACTTTTGTTGAATTTTTATGAAGTTAAACTTGTCCAACTTTTCATTTACAGCCATACTATCCATCCATTGCCCAGGGTTTTGTGAGGTATACTTGACCAAATGTGAAGTTTTCACGTATTTGCCTGTTTGTCTCTGAGTTCTCTGTTCTATCCCTTGGGTCTATTTTCTTGTTTTTGCAGCAGTGCTACACCATCTTTATTATTGTGGATTTGTAATAATTTTTAGTCTCTGGTAGAGTGACTTTTCCCTTTGTAATATTCTATTTTCAGATTGATCTAGCTCTTCATAAGCTTTTATTTGCCCAGGGAAATTTGATAGTATGTTTATCAAGTTCCTAAAAAAGGTAGATTTTCATTTGAATTAAATATATTTTATTTGCTGACTCAAATATATGGTTGACATGTGGAAAATGGGTTATTTTACAATACTGACACATACTACCCCAGGGTGTGGTGTGGATATTCATCTAGTCAAATAATCTTTAGTCTTGTAATAGAGTTTAGAATATTTGTTTAGAGATCTTATGCATGTTTTGTTAATGAACCCTTAGATACGCCTGCCATTTTGGGTAGATATATCTTTTATTGGGGTTGAGGGAAATTTATAAATTCATTTGGATTGTAGAGATTTTATGTTTCTCACTCAATTTAATCCAGGCACTTTATATTATTAGAACATTATCTTTTTTTTTTTTTTGAGTTGGAGTCTCAATCTGTCACCCAGACTGGAGTGCAGTGGCATGCTCATGGTCACCACAGCCTTGACCTGCTGGGCTCAGGCAATCCTTCTGTCTCAGCCTTCCAAGTAGCTGGAATTAGAGGCACGTGCTACCAAGCCTGGCAAATTATTTGACTTACTGTAGAGATGAGGTCTCACCAATTTGCCCAGGCTGGTCTCGAATACCTGGGCTCAAGCAACTCTCTTGCCTCAGCCTCCCAAAGTGCTGGGATTACAGTCTTGAGCCACCGCGCCTGTCCTAGCAGCTTATCTTTTACTGTTATTTTCTGTTAGTTGTTATTTCTATCTGGAAAAAACTAATTATGTATGTAAATTTTATGCCTAATGAACATAGTACATGATACTTGCTATGTGTCTCATATCAATAGAAAAATGGTAGATTATTTAATAAAAGCTTTTGTGACAACTGAAGAGTTGACTGGAAAAGAGTCAACTCAATCTGCTTCTCATGTCTTAGAACAAGATAACATCCAGATGAATCAAATATTTAAATTTTTAAAAAAGAAGTCTTAACGCTGGGCACTACTAGTGGGAGGAGGCAGGGAGGAGGAGATAAGGGGCACACAACCACCCATTGAGTACTATGTCCACTACTAGGGGAAGAGAGGGCTCACTAGAAGCCCAGATCTCACCAGCTCGCAATTTCCTTATGCAGCAAATCCTCACATACACCCTACAACTCTAAAATGAACGTTAAAAACAAAAAGATAAAAAAGGAGTCTTAAAAGTGCTAGAAGAAACCATGGGGAAATTATTTTATAGCTCTAGAAAAGAAAAACACTATTTTGAGACAAGTCCCAGGAAATACACAGCAAGAGAGTGACACATTGTCAAATGAGAGATGATACAGATCAGTACACAAAGTATATAGTGTGCTATTGTATATATATTTTAAGCTGCTAAAAAGTAGCTTTGGAGGAATACATAAAAGATAATAAACTAAGCAACCTGTGTGTGTGGGGGGGAAGGTGGGTGGTGTTAACCATAGGGTGGGTGATGTATAGTTTACACATTTTGAACCAGTTAGGTGTACAATGTATTACAATTTTAAATAGCCACACAAAAAAGAAGAAAGATTAAGGAAAAAAAATCAGTTCCCTTACTAAATCTGTAATTTTTTTTTTTGAGTTGGAGTCTCACTCTGTCGCCCAGGCTGGAGTGCAGTGGCATACTCACAGTCACTGCAGCCTCGACCTGCTGGGCTCAGGTGATCCTTTTGCCTCAGTTTTCCAAGAAGCTGGAACTACAGGAACACACCATCATGCCTGGCTAATTTTTGATTTATTGTAGAGATGAGGTCTCACCAAGTTGTCCAGGCTGGTCTCGAACCTGCGGGCTCAGGCAATCCACTCACCTCGGCCTCCCAAAGTGTTGGGATTATAAGCATGAGCCACTGCGCCCGGCCTAATCTGTAATGTTTATACAAATTCTTTCAGTGGATTCTCTTGTGTTTTCTAAGTATAAAATCACTATCTGCCAGAATGATACATTTCCCCCCACATATCAAATTGCTTTATGCTCCTTTATTTCCTAATTGCACTTGCTAGTAACGCTAGTACAATGAATTATAAGAGCAAAACACTAGATGTTAGTTTCGTTTCTTACACACTTGCATTTAGAGTTTGCTCTCTCACCACAAAGGATATCTATATTTATGTAAATTTGTTATCCTTATCCTCTTTTCAATTGTCTTTTGGATGTTGAATTTTTTATTTTCATATAGTTTCACTCTGTTGCCCAGATGGAGTGCAGTGGTATGATCACAGCCATCGCATCCTCGACCCATTGGGCTCAGGTGATCCTTCCACCTCAACCTTCCAAGTGGCTGGGACTACAGGTGCATGCCACCACAACTGGCTAATTTTTTTTTTTTGAGTTGAAGTCTCACTCTATCTCCCAGACTGGAGTGCAGTGGCCGCTCCCGGCCACCGCAGCCTCAACCTGCTGGGCTCCAGCGATCCTTCCGCCTCAGCTTTCCAAGTAGCTGGAATTACAGGCGCGTGCTACCACGCCTGGCTAATTTTTTGATTTTATTGTAGAGATGAGGTCTCGCCTGCCCAGGCAGGTTTTGAACCCGCGGGCTCGGGCAATCCACTCACCTCAGCCTCCCAAAGACGCGGGATTACAGGCTGAGCCACCGAGCCCGGCTAACTGGCTAATTTTTTTATTTATTTATTGTAGAGATGAGGTCTCACCAAGTTGCCCAGGCGGGTCTCGAACCCTTGGGCTCAGGCAATCCACTCACCTCAGCCTCCCAAGGTGCGGGATTACAGGCTGAGCCACCGAGCCCGGCTAGAAGAAAAATCTTTTAAAAATAGCTGACTGATTTTTCTCTGGTACTTCTGCTTTTATACTTCTCAAATATTTGATTCATCTGGACTTCATTTTATTACAGGGAGAAAGGGTCTCACTAGGCACAGATTCTGTTTGTGCTCTCTGGGTAACCATTGGGGTCTCCTAGGGAGGACCTGGCCCAGCTGCCCTTCCTGACCATGTGCATCAAGGAGAGTCTGCGGTTGCATCCCCCAGTCCCGGTCATCTCCCGCTGCTGTACCCAGGACATTGAGCTCCCTGATGGCCGCGTCATCCCTAAAGGTGCCCACCTTGTCAAGGAGAGGAGACTCCTGGGCAGGAAGAGGAGCCCATCAGTAGTGGGACTTGTCTTGACTGCCCTCCTCTCCCACAGGTATTATCTGCCTTATCAGCATTTTCGGGACCCATCACAACCCAGCAGTGTGGCCGGACCCTGAGGTGATGTCCACCCCCAAACCCTTGTCCATTGCAGGGGTCCTAGGAGAGGGAGCAGGGTTTGGACTGGGGAAGTCTGTATCACCTTCCCCTGCCACACACACAACTCCAAGGCTGGCTCTCCTGGGAGATCCCACCCAGCAAGCCTGTCTCGGTCTTGCCTCCAGGTCTATGACCCCTTCCGCTTTGACCCAGAAAACATCAAGGAGAGGTCGCCTCTGGCTTTTATTCCCTTCTCGGCAGGGCCCAGGTGAGGGCAGCGTGTCTGAGGCAGGGATGGGGTGATGGGGGCGAGGCATGGTAGTGGGGACGGAGTGGGGGTGGGGAAGGCAGGGCTAGTTGCAAATGGTCGGAGTTCCAGCTCTCCATTCCTCCCCTCCTCAGGAGGTTATGGGCACAGGTCTGGAGAATGGGAGCTGTACAAGGTCAGGGGGGTCCTCGGTGTTCTCAAAGCCCCTCCCCCTCCCGCTGGTGTCAGAGTTGGGGGCTGGAGTCTGGACCAGACTCGGGGGATATGCAAGCTCACATGGAGGTCCCAGGCACGGGACCTCTCTCTGCCCTTCAAGCTGATCTGGGTGGGGTTGGTGGTGGTGGGGATCCCGGGCCAGCTTCCAGGCGTGATGGGGCCCGATGGGAATCCTGGGTGCAGTCACCGTCCCTATCCCCGCCCCCAGGAATTGCATCGGGCAGACGTTCGCCATGACTGAGATGAAGGTGGTCCTGGCGCTCACGCTGCTGCGTTTCCGCATCCTGCCAGATGACAAGGAGCCCCGCAGGAAACCCGAGCTGGTCCTGCGTGCAGAGGGCGGGCTTTGGCTGCGAGTGGAGCCGGTGAGGGCAGGCCCCCAGTGACCCACCAGGGCCAGATCTGGGATCCATCCAGACCCCACCCACCTACCTTGGCAGATTTCCAGAAATAAAACTGTGATGTCGCTTCTGGCTGAGTGTCTCTGAGAGCCAGCAGGGGGGTGCTTGGGGGAACTCCGGGATCCAGTTTGTGGTTGGATAGAGGCAGAGTGGTGCCTCTGAGTTCAGGACCCTGAGCCTGACTTGCCTCTCTGGTTGCCTCTGGCTGGCCTCAGAGTTCCGATGCTGATGGTGGGTTTTCCCACAGACCAAGTATGGTCATTATCCCGTGTGGATAGGGAGCCATGGGAGGTGTTTGAGCAGAAGAGGGACCAGGGTTAAGGACGGATTTAAGGGGCAAGATTTAGGTCTTGGTTCAGGGAGAAGAGCCAGATACTATTGTCTGGACTCTGGTATCCCCAAGACAGAGGCCCCTGGCTGCCTTCTGGCAATTCTTGATTCCCCTCCTGCTGTTGCCAATGTCCCACTCCTGTGTTTGCCCCTCACAGGGAGCCCCCTTCCTCTTCTGGTCCCGCATGCTACCCAGGCAGACTGGCCAACAAATCCTAGCTCTGCCCCCACTGTGTGGCAGGCACTCTCACAAGTGGGCCAGTGGGAAGGTTCATTCCCACTCCTTCCTTCTCATCATAAGACAGCGTGGCTCATTTTTGGGGTGGGGGGTTGGGGCAGGGACAGCCCATGTGACTCTTAAGATTTAAAGCCAGACTAATGGAAACAAACACCATCCCCAAAGGCATGGGGTCTAGGGCCAGACTGCTGGAACTCAAGTTTAAACTCTTCTGTGTGACTTGAGCAAGGGGATTCCCCTCTCTGTGTCTCAGTTTCCTCAACCATATAATGGAGACCACAATACTACTTACTTCAGGTTGTATCAAGGACTAAATGTAAGGGACTCAGACCTGTGCCTGGTGCACAGTAAATGCTCAACAAATGTGGTCATTGTTATTTCCTCTCTCAGAAAGTCTGATGTTGCCTTTCAAGATACTTCTTTCTTTAAAAAAATTTTTTTTCCTGTTTTACAGTAGGGAAGTTTTTTTTTTTTTTTTGAGACAGGGTCTTGCTATGTTGCCCAGGGTGGTCTCAAACTCCTGGGCTCAAGTGATTCTTCCGCTTCCTTGGCCTCCCAAAGTGCTGGGATTACAGGCATAGCCACTGTACCCCAAGATTATTATTTCCGCCATGACATTTAAGACTGTGTTTTGGCCATAAATGTCATTAAATACATCAACAGATGTAAAAGCAAGAACCACATGATTATCTCATTAGATGCAGAAAAAGCTTTTGATAAAATCCAGCATCCCTTCTTGATAAAAACCCTCAAACATCTAGGTATAGAAGGAACATACCTCAAAATAGTAAGTGCCATCTATAACAAAACCACAGCTAGCATATTGCTAAATGGTCAGAAACTACAATCATTTCTCCTGAAAACTGGAACAAGACAAGATTGTCCACTCTCATCCCTCTTGTTCAATATTGTGTTGGAAGTCCTAGCCCAGGCAATTAGACAAGAGAAGGAAATCAGGGGTATCCAAATAGGAAAAGAGGAAGTCAAGTTATCCCTCTTTGCTGATGATATGATCCTATACCTTAAAAATCCAAGAGAATCTGTCAAAACCCTGCTTGCACAGATAAAGGACTCTGGGAAGGTCTCAGGTTACTAAACAGATGTGCAAAAGACAGTTGCATTTCTCTACACCAACAACAAGCAGGCAGAGACCCAAATAAAAAGTACAATCCCATTCACAATAGCCACAAAAAAATGAAATACTTTGGCATCTTCCTAACCAGAGAAGTGAAAGACCTTTACAATGAGAACTACAAAACACTGCTCAAAGAAATCCAAGAAGGCACAAACAAATGGAAAAATATATCATGCTCATGGATAGGAAGAATCAACATTGTTAAAGATGTCCATCCTGCCAAAGGCAATCTACAGATTCAACGCAATACCCATTAAGTTACCAACATCATTCTTCTCAGACCTGGGAATGACAATGCAGAAATTTATGTGGAAACATAAACGGCCACGAATAGGCAAAACAATCCTTAGCAAAGGAAGTAAAGCAGGAGGTATCACACTTCCAGACTTCAAACTTTACTATTAGGCTACAGTAATCAAAACAGCCTAGTATTGGTATGAGAACAGGCACAGAGACCAATGGAACAGGATAGAGATTCCGGAAGCAAAACTTCAATTCCTCAACCAACTCTTCTTTGACAAAGCTTTCATTCCAGTAACAACCACTGGGGAGAAGAGAACCTATTCAGTAAATGGTGCTGGGAAAACTGGCTGAACACATGCAGAAGATTGAAACAGGACCCCTACCTATCATCATACACAAAAACTAACTCTAAATGGATCAAAGACCTAAACGTAAAACCTCAAACTGTAAGAACCTTAGAAAATGCAGGATCCACTCTTATGGAAGTTGGAGCTGGCAACCAATTTCTGAGCAAAACCCGAAGTGCCCAGGCCATAACAGATAAGATAGACAAGTGGGACCTCATTAAACTGACAAGCTTCTTCAAAGCCAAAGAAACCGTCAAGAGAGCAGGGAGACAGCCCACAGAATGGGGAAAAATATTTGCCAACTATATATCTGACAAAGGCCTAATATCTAGGAACTACAAGGAACTCAAATGCGCTGAAAGGAAAAAAACAAACAGCTCCTTTAAAAAGTGGACAAAAGACATGAATAGACACTTCTCAAAAGAAGATATACAGGCAGCCAACAGACACATGAAAATGTGCACAGCCTCACTCATCATTAGAGAAATGCAAATCAAAACCACATTGAGATACCACCTAACCCCTGTAAGAATGGCCGTCATTCTTAAAACACACAACAACGGATGCTGGCGCGGATGTGGAGAAAAAGGAATGCTTCTACACTGCTGGTGGGAATGCAGACTAGTACAACCTCTTTGGAAGACAGTGTGGTGATTTCTGAAAGAACTAGAAATCGACCTTCCATATGACCCAGTAATTCCCCTATTGGGAATATATCTGGAGGAACTCAAATCATTCTACAAAAAAGAGGCCTGCACATGCATGTTTGTTGCAGCTCTGTTCACAATAGCAAAAACATGGAACCAACTGTGTTGCCCATCGAACTGAACTGGATAAAAAAATGTGGTATATATACACAATGGAATATTATGCAGCCATAAAGAAGGACAAATATGTGGACTTTACAGCAAATTGGATGGATTTGGAGTCGATCATACTCAGTGATTTATCACAGAAACAAAAAACTGAGTTTATATGTTCTCACTCATAAGGTGAACTTGAACAATTATAATGCTGTGGGAAGGCGATTGGCAGTAGTGGAAAACTGTCAGGGGAAGGGGGCGTGGGACTGGCAGTTGGGAAAACTGCTAGGCGAGCGGGGGCATACCTCATCAACAAGGGTACCTGCATGATCAATGTTTGTATACCTAACCCTGAATTGTACCGTACATCTTTATAATAAATATGTTTCAAAAAAGACTGTGTTTTGAGACACAAAGGAAACTTTTTTTTTTTCTTGAGTTGAAGTATCACTCTGTCACCCAGACTGGAGTGCAGTGGCCGCTCCTGGCCACTGCAGCCTTGACCTGCTGGGTTCCAGCGATCCTGCTGCCTCAGCCTTCCAAGTAGCTGGAACTATAGGCGCGCGCTACCACGCCCGGCTAATTTTTGATTTATTGTAGAGATGAGGTCTCGCTAAGTTGCGCAGGCGGGTCTCGAAACCGCGGGCTCAGGCAATCCACTCACCTCAGCCTCCCAAAGCGCTGGATGTATAGACTGAGCCACCGAGCCTGGCTTTTTATTTTTGAGTTGGAGTCTCATGCTGTCACCCAGGCTGGAGGGCAGTGGCACACTCACGGCCATCATGGCTCTGGCAATCCTTCTGCCTCAGCCTTCTGAGTAGCCGGAACTACAGGCATGCGCTACCATGCCCGGCTAATTTTTTATTTATTGCCCGGGCTGGTCTCGAACTCGCTGACTCAGGCAATCCACTCGCCTCAGCCTCCCAAAGTACTGGGATTACCGGCTGAGCCACTGAGCCCAGCCTGGCAACAATTCTAATATCTGTTCTCCTTGAATCTGCTCTTTCATCCACAGAGCTGTGCATGTAGGAGGCAGTTTTTTCCCCCCTGAGAGCATTGGGAAACGTGGAAGTGCAAGGGGGTAGGAGAAGGAGAGAATCCTCAGTTAATGTCTCAAAATAAAACCCTGTTACAAATGTTCATCTCTTTTCCCTAAGGAATGCTGCACTCCTAAGCCCTTCTCACTCTTCAAGCCTTCTCTCCAGCTGGCTTCCTCTTCTTGCCGCATTTGGCCATCTTGACTGATTCTGATCTCCTAATAGATTATTTTTTCCTGCCTCAGCATCTTTGCTCTTGCCACTCCCAGTTTTTTCATAATTGAATCTCATCATGCAGGGCTTGACTGAAATGCAACCTCCTCAAAGAGATTCTTCTTTTGCTATCAAAATGCCACCTGTCCTGGTTAGTTCTGTCCCATTATTCTATTTATTGTCCTTATAGGTCTTAACATATCTGAAAGAATTTTGTTTATTTGTTGATCATGTGGAATATTTAGTAACATTAAACTATCCATGGCCTCATCCTAAACATATATGCACCCAACACAGGAGCACCAACTTTCATAAAGCAGCTTCTAGGTAAACTTAAAAAAGAAACTGACTCTAACACTATCATAATTGGGGACTTAAATACCTCACTCACAACCCTAGACAGATCATCAAGACAAAAAATCAACAAGGAGATCTGGAACCTCAATGTGACCCTTGACCAAATGAACTTAATTGATACCTGCAGAACATTCTACCCAACAACTATGGAATACACATTCTACGCATTACCACATGGAACATACTCTAAGATCAACCACATCCTTAGCCATAAATCAAACATAAACAAATTCCATATGATTGAAATACTGCCATGCACCTTCTTAGACCATAGTGGAATGA